GCTGACCAAATTGACTATATTAACAGGTCCTCCTAAAAGTGACACTAGTTAGCAGGTTGCATGAGAGAAAGGGGGGCTGGGAAGAAAGGGATGATTTATGCCATATGGATTCCGTTGATAGCCTGGGTTTCTAATTGTACATTAATGCATTTTCTCTTAAAAGATGGATTTATTGGCATGCTGAGAGAAGATGCTGGTTGTTCCTTGCTAATTTTTTTAAGGATTTGTCTTTGCTTTACCCAGCTTTTGCCAAGATACAGTTTTGCTAATGCCAACTGATCCACAAAAGAGGAGGACTTCCTGAAAAAAAAGGGGCTTTATGGGATGAGATTTGCATATTTATAGAAAGGTTAAGTAAAGCTCAGTAGGGCAGGGCTTACATTAAAGAAGACAGAAAGGTGAATTTTACATTTGATCAGCTGCTTCTGTGGCTTGCAGGTTCTGAGAAGGCCAGAAGGGCAGCCATCACATCTTTTTAAGTCCAGGTGAAATTTCAACTTGATTTAAGAGCTTTTTATCTGGAAAATGTCAAAGAAGTCTTAGGAAGAAAGAAATAAACAAGGAGGAACAAATCAGCTTTGATCTGGTACAAACTGCTGATTCAATTTGGATCATTAATCCACTTAAATCAGTCCAGATTGATTTGGAAAATCGAGTGACTTGGATTTTCCCAATCTGACATATAGAAGCGAAGGGGCTTTTTGCATACCCCTTACAAATGCTGGATTCAAAAGATGGCGTTGATTATGTATTTGTTAGCTAGATATGGACAAAGTCAGCCCCTCCATCCCATTCATGTCGGAGGTACCATTTAAGGCACTTCTGGGTAGAAAGGATTAGCTGGTGACATCACTGTTGTTTGAGGGATGCCCTTGAGGGCTCCTTTCGTGCCCCTATCAAGGAGCTGGAGTGAATAACGGGAACTCACCCTGCCATGCAGTAGCACACAGGTCTCGAACGCTAATCTTCAACTCAGCATCCTAAGTAAATGGGCCACCATGCTCCAAGACATAGTCACTAGTTGTGGTATTTGACAATTCAGTCTCTGCAAATCCAAAAGTCCAAGAAGTTGACTTATTAGATGAGAAGCCAAAAAAAAAAAAAAAAAAAAGAACCCACGGACCATTTAAATAAACTTTCTCTGAAATTCTACATTCTCCATATCCCTCAAGGAGAAGCCAAGGGAGTTATGCCCGTTCTCAGCACATGGATGAATTCCAGGTGTAGCGAACAAGGGATTACATTTACGGATCAATAGGAAGCATTTTGGAATAATTTAGGTATCCACAAAAGGTATGAAATCCATTGGCACAAGCAGCAGCTTTAAAATTGAAACGTGACTCAATGGGAGTCAACTGGAGCCAAGCAGAAAGCAATAGAAGCTACCCAGTTCAGATGGATTTATTCCTGGGGATAAAAGTGAACGCTGGCAAGGAGAGGGCCTCAGAACACACATTTTACATGTGACAATTGACAAATTGAGTCCCCAGCTTCTGTCATTCAGACGGTAGACAGCCGAAAAGATGCTTCTGAATTCTGGAGCAACTCAGATATTCCTTGAATGACAACTTCACCCCAACATGTTGCAAAGCTTCTGGGCAAACTTACACTATCCCATTTTTGCAAGGTGCTGCCAAGCTGGCAGCTATAAAACACAGGGAGGAGAGAAAAGATCACAACCATCAGGACCAGTGGGTGGGTGTGACAATGTGTGTGTATGTGTGATAAGTGCCACTTCCTTTAGACAGAGTGCCAGTTCCAAAGCTGTCAACTCAAGTGTCTTAGCAGCAGCATCTGCTTTGGAAATGAAACCCATGTTTTACATCTCCTTGGAGGAAAACCAGGCTATTGGTAAACTTGCCTGGGGCAACTCTGGTGTGTGTGTTGTGTGTGGGGGGGAATCACATTCCTCCCTTTTCAGCCTTTTAACAATATTTTTGCTACTTCTGAGCCTAAGAAGAACTTAGGTGTGTTTGAGGGAAGAAGGAGATGGGTTTTAAGCTTCTGACCAACATGGTGTGTTCATGGCTTTGCTCATAGGGTTTGGTCTGGTTTGGGCAATGCAAATCTTCACATTTCTTGTGTCTCTTTCTCCCACCTGCTCTACTTGAAGAGTTATGTGGGAAGAAACACCCATCTGGTTCAGTTCCAAGCTGGGAGAAAGGCACTGGAGACAAAATGGAGGCTGATTGGAAAGAAAGTCCATTGATTGATGAACTGAACCACCAGAGTTTGTGGTTCTGGTGCAGCTGACAAAATAATAGCTTTTATAGCTTATTTTGGGATTTGTATTTGAGCTTCCTGTTCCTATGCGAGAACATGTATTCTATGTCAACTCGCGAAGCATTCCTGACCTGCTGTCGAGTTGCCATAGGCAAGGGGGATGAGGAATCTAGCCTCGCAGCTGCATCGAGGAACTTGCATTTCAGTCAAAACAAAGCACATTCCAGCTGTAAAGGTCATCTTCACAGAAATCCACAGTGGCCGGAGGGAGTGACTTCTACAACCCGCAAAATTGCTTCGTTGGGGAATGTGACTGATGACACACTTTGGGGGGAGGGGGAAACAGGGTCAGAGCAAGGCGTGAATTAAGTGAGGTCAGAGTTGGCTTCACTTGCTCCGTGCTGACATGAAGCTCCTAATAAAGCTTGGCCTGAGGCTCATGATTTGGTCCTGAATTGAAGCAACCAAGCCAAACACAAGGTGTGAGCTGAAAGTCCTTCAGGCTGATTCTTGGTAAGCAACTCTGATCAAGATGGGCTCCTCCAACTACAAACCAATTTGACTGATGGATGAGAGAAGAGTGGGTAATGCATACTCCTGGTTGCAGCCTTTTATTATCTCCACTGGAAGGCAAAAATCACAAAACTGCATCTCACTTATTTTGGATAAATCATGCAGGGGAATTTGCTGGAGAAAGCAATTATATTTGGAAGAGTTCAGAGGTGGTATTCAGGAGGTTCTGACCAGTTCTCGAGAACCAGTAGCAGAAATTTTGGGTAGTTTGGAGAACCGGCAAATGCCACCTCTGACTGGAGATTTTACAGTATCCTTCCCCTGCCACGCCCACAAAGCCACGCCCACAGAACAAGTAGTAAAAAAAATTGAATCCCACCACTGGAAGAGTTAGCGGTAAAAGGAAATCAGGCCACCAAAGACCATGATGGCTGGACACCTGTTCTGACCCAAGCCTCGTTCCAAGGAAACAAAAACCAAACAGAGATAAAAGCAAACCCTTTTTAATGCCTCTCTGTTAATTCCACTAATTCACAGTAAAATGCTATTAAAAACTAATTGTCCCAGATAAGAACAAGCCTTGCCAAGGTTGTGCAAGGCTGCCAAGAACACTAGATTAAATTGCAAGGAAATAATCAAAATCAAAAGTCTCCAAACACAAACCAGGATAGTCCGAACTTCCACAAGACTTGAAGCGCGAGAACTTCTTTGCTTCCTGCAAAGAATCCCACCTCTGAGGGCTGGCTTTTATCCCTTAAGGGAGGGGCCATCACCTTGCAGCTTTACTCCCGAGTTGCCCATGTTGCTGCAGCTTCTCTTTCCTTCGAGCAGCCCTGCATGCACGCGCACTGGACACAGGCTCCTCGGGACCCTCTTCATCACTGCTGCCAGCCTCCACAAGCTCCGAAGGCAGCACTCCACTCTCTGATAGTCCTGGCCCCGTCCCTGCCTCACATGCAGGCCCCTCATCTGAGTCCTCGCTCTCCGAGACCTCAGCCATCCGCACCTGCTGCCGGTGGACCACAACAACACCATCAAAGCTGACCCCAGCCAGCGTATAGAACAACTCAAAGAAGTAGTGCAAGATCAGAAAATGTGAAGAGTCTTCATCCACAGAATTGCCAAAAGTTGGACTGAACTAAATGGACATCATCATCATCATCATCATCATCATCATCATCATCATCATCTCTTCACCTTCTTCGATGTTTAAAAAAAAAGTCGCAGCTGCAAAGCCATGAAACCTTGAGGTAGCCCATAGCTGCCATCTGGATTTCTTTGACTTGCTCCATGCATTTGTCCCTTCCAAGCACCCACAACCCTGAACAGCCTGAGGATGTCTGAGCTACAATCTTTTTCAGGAAATGAGAGATGAGTAGCTTTAGCAAAGCCATATCTATTAAGAGTCAAGGCAGCTCTCCGGAGTGTCTGCTAGGGTTCTATATCTTTCAGGAACAGAAGCCTCTCTGGTTATTGGTGTCTTTGTTCCTTCAATTTGCCTCTTCCTTCTGTATATTGGAATTGTTCCCTACTCTTTCTCTGACTCTTTCACTTAGTTGCAAGTCTGCACATTCAGCCTCCAGCCTCTGCTATTTTTCCCTGCAATTTTTCTCCTTCTCTTTTCTCCCTCTCTCTAGAGGGAGAGCTGTGGATGGTTGGTTTGGTTTAATCGCCCACCTGAGCAAGACTAATGGAACTCTCAAGTGAGCTGAGCATTGGACAACTTTCAGTTGACTCTGGGGTTGGCATTTTCTTTCTTAAGTTCGGATTTGCAGGGCTCTGCCAAAACCTGGATGTCTTTCTTCTTGGCCTTGTCTAACCTTGGGAAAGCTTGTCTTTCACCAGTCCTGAATAGGAGGTGAAATTGTTTTTAGACTTTTGTTTTCAGCTAAGCATAGAAAACCTTCTGTGATCCTGTTGCACAAAGGGTGGCTCTATGTCAGTGGAATTAAAGAATGTGAGATGTGGATTTTGGACAGAACAAGAGTCCTGAGGTTTCCTTCTGTTGCCTGGTACACAACCTCTTTCCCATCTCCCTGTGTGTGTGATACTCACACACTTGCTAGCTCATAAGTCTTGCTTGTGTTCACAGTAATGTCCAACTAGAATACAAACCTGTCTCCTGTGACAACAGAAGGTTGAATGTTACATAGATGGCCATGGAAAGAACGCAAAGAAACAACTGGTACACAATGCAGGTCTTATGTCCCACAGTTGACTTCCCCCAAGACAGTTTAATCTGCTGCTGGAGGTTTTTCTACAACACCACATCTAGAGAGATGATGAACCAAAGCTTAGCTTAAAGCTTATAGAGTCCTGGTGGCACAGTGGTTGGAATGCAGTATTGCAGGCAAACTCTGCCCCCTGCCTGGATTTCAATCCCAATAGAGCACAAGGTTGACTCAGTCTTCCATCCTTCTGAGGTCAGTAAAATGAAGCTGAAATAAGGAGAAAATACAAGAAAGCAATTTATTATATCATTGATTATTTCAGTTTGTAGAGGCTGCCCATCTCGACAAGGGTCTCTTGGCGGCGATGTTCAGCGAAACGCAAGGAAAACTTTTTTAACATTTCAAAAGGGAAAAGTTAGGAAGAAGGTATCTGTCATGCTGGAAGGTTTTAACAAAGAGCCATTGTTGAAAGATTTGGGACTTGGATATTTATTTATTTACTTGTTATATTTATATGCCCACCCATCTCACACAATGTGGCTGTGAACACAATGCTCAAAACAATCATAAAGTCATTTTTTTTTAAAAAAAATTCAAAAGCACAAAAAGTTAATATTATTATAAACATGTGAGAAAGAACTTCAGATTATAAACCATGAAGCTATCTAATCAAATTAACATTCTTTTGTGACCTCCCAGGCCTATTAGCACAACCACATTTTAAGGAATTTCTGGAAAGTCCTCAAATCTTTTTGCAAATTGAAAACTGTTTTGTTTTGGTAATTCAGGAATAAGTGTATAGAAACCTACCATGTTTAAGGCTCATTATATATTTCTCACAAAGCAAAAGGGCCCTCTGTGTGAATTTGGGGGAAAAATCATCTAGAGATTGTAGTATGAAGGAAACAATGCATGTATTATCCCAGGCTATTACATCTCAGCTGGCTTTGTATAGTACCCATAAATATAAACACATACAAATTATAAACCAATTTAGAAGATTGATCATGGGAATATGAATGGAGTCCCAAAGCACAGCCTTTCCAGTTGCATCTTCATTTCATTTTTTTAAAGAGAAGAAATCATAATGTTGACATATTTATCATTTTGAGTCTGCACAATTATCTCTGAGAATTCGCTCTGTAACTCACAGATTGGGATCAGATGTTTATGGGGCATGTGCAGCCATTACTTTTCAAGCTGTAATATGAAGTTGAAGAACAATTATGGAGCATGTATCTCTTCAGATTATCATGTGAGTAGTTGTTTCCTCTTATTATTATTTAAGAGAAGGAAGTATCAAGTTTCTCTCTCTCTCTCTCTCTCTTTGTTGCAAAGTATTGAGAATTTGGTTTATAAATCAAAGGTTAAGAAAATGTTATTCGGTTTTTTTCCTAGTTCAGGAAACAGTACCAAAAAAGGGGAATATGTGTAGATCAGGGTTCAAACGAGTGGTTCTTGGTTCTCTCTGAGCTTAGTGGCTTTTTTGCAGACATTTCATGACCCAACTAGGTAACATCATCAGTATTAGACAGGAGTGGGGTGTATCAAGTGAAAGAGGAGGAGGAAGACTATGGGATCAGATGTTTATGGGGCATGTGCACCCATTACTTTTCAAGCTGTAATATGAAGTTGAAGAACAATTATGGCGCATGTATCTCTTCAGATTATCATGGTGAGACTTGGTGAGCTTGGTTTTTTTCTTGCAGACATTTCCTTACCCAAACTACGTAACAAACTGATTTACTTAGTTTACCTAGTTTATCAGTTACCTAGTTTATCATTTACCATCATCCGGGAACATGAATTTTCTGTGAATGTATTCATCACATCTTATATATTGTTGCATGTTTTGCATTAACCTGAGTTTTGAGAAGTTCCAAGAACAATGGATTGTTTAGGAAGCTGAAATCATACACTGAGTTTGCAATACTTGCTTTATTTTCAAATAAACAGGGAAAAAATAGATAACGAACAGATTTTATTGGGCATCAATGACTCATAGCACTTTGCGACCTAGTAACGTTTTATAAAAACATGCTGTGCTTTCATGTTTTAAGATTTCTCTATGCATTGGGCCAGAAGGTTAGAGTAGCTTGCCAAGTGAATTCCTTCTCCATTTCTGTCTCTAAATAATTCAATAAAAGCAGGACACTCTGCCTGGGATATTCTGCACTTCTGAAATCTGGATATTAAATAAAATAAGAACGTACATTTAGCAAAGTATGTCCCTTCAGTTGTTTCCTGGGCATTGATTTTTTTTTTTAAATGTTGGTTTAAAAAAAGAGGTAGCAATGGAAAACAAAGTGTTTGCTACAAAGGAAATAGAAATTTTTAAACAGTTGGGTGACATCTGGTGCCTTGATAAGATCAGTTACAGAACAACAGTGAACTTTGCAACAGCTTCTCAGTTCCAAGGCTTTCCATCCAGGTTTGAAGCCAAGCCAATTATGCAGAGAATTTTTAAAAAGTGATGTGCCAGAGACAGGAGCAGTAGTAAACTTGGAGAGAAAAATAACCAACAACGAAAAGTCAGTGGAATCGTACTGCTATGACCTCTCTGCTTAGCTGTTCACGGCTAGTTTTTGTCCAGTAGATGGAATTAGGGAGATATCTTACAGAATATAGAATCTATATAGATATAAACCAAGTACCACTCATTCATCACGAAATCTCCAGAACCATAAAGCCTACAAACTTGAAATTTGGCACCTATCTTCCTCTTGGCTTCTAGGTGCTTGCTAAGAAAGGATTTTCTGAAATGACCATCAGACCATTGGTATTTCTTATACATTAATTAACATGCTCTGATGCTAAGGAGTTCTACTCCCCCTCCCCACCTGTAAAGGACTCTGTTCCAACTGCCGGTTGCCTCACATTCCATTACCTCAGTTCAAAATGGCAGACATTCCATTCCTTCACTCAGGAGTGTCCTGGGGCTCCTTACAATACTAAACATCGGTACCTCACCAAAATGTCTATGCCTTCCAACTATGGAACTGCTTCTGGACTCAAGGTGTTGGGAACGATATTCCTTTATGTGTTTCAATCACCGACAACCACTGAGCCAACGGATTGTGAACTGAATTTCCCCTGCATAGCCCAATCATAAAGTTTCATCGCAAAGCATGGGTATCTAGCTAGTAGAATATAGAATTCTTTATTAGCCAAGCATGATTGGACACACAAGGAATTTGTCTCCAGTGTACAGGCTTTCCGTGTACATATAGGAAACAAGTGATAAATCACGATAATAATTATAAAATACAATCATCAAAAATCGCAAGTTGCAAACTCAGTGATAGTCATAGGATATTAAATAAAGAAACAACATAAATCGTAATTGGATACTAAATAAAGGCAATCCATATAAATCACGAGATACAGACAACAAAGTTATAGTCATAAGAAGCTAAGGAAATAACTGATAGGAAAGATTATCCCATAGGTAATAGGAAAGATGTTCAGAAGAAAGGGGCTCTGAGTCATAAATTGCATATCACTCCATGCTAGCAGGTTTCCCCATAATTAATCTCCAAGTGCTGGGATTTGCGCAACATACCAAGCTCTCAACCATGGTTTATAAATCACAATATGTTAAGCTTGAAGCAGTATTCTATGCCAAAGTCATGGACTACATTCGGGATTATGAGAAAGCATGAACCCTATTTTTTGATGCGGTGACTTTGCTTATTACAGATGAGTCCAGAGCATGTTTATTAAATAAGAATATATAGCACAGTTGTCTGTCTTTCTGTCTGTCTGTCTCTTATCTATCTATCTATCTATCTATCTATCTATCTATCTATCTATCTATCTATCTATCTCTATCTATCTATCTATCTATCTATCTATCTATCTATCTATCTATCTATCTATCTATCATCTCTATCTATCTATCTATCTATCTATCCATCCATCCATCCATCCATCCATCCATCCATCCATCCATCCATCCATCTATCTATCTATCTATCTATCTATCTATCTATCTATCTATCTATCTATCATCTATCTATCCCCCTTTCCCTCACTTCCTCTCTCCCATCTCCACTATCATCTATCTATCCATCCATTCATCCATCTATCCACCTGCCAACCCACCCATCATCCATCCATCCATCTATCCATCCATCCATCTATCTATCATCTATCTTTCTTTCTATCTCCATCCATCCATCCATCTATCCACCCACCAACCCACCTATCATCTATCTATCTATCTATCTATCTATCTATCTATCTATCTATCTATC